ATAATAATAATAAATGGTATAAATGCATTTATTTTAAACTTGGTTTTGCTAGATGGTAAAACTTAGGAGACCCAGTTGGTGTAGTGGTTAAGGCACCAGGCTAGAAACCAGAAGACCATGAGTTCTAGTCCTGCCTTAGAGACAAAGTCAGCCAGGTGACCTTGGGTCAGTCATTCTCTCTCAGCCCTAGGAAGGAGGCAATGGCAAACCACTTCTGAAATCTTGCCAAAAAAGCTGCACGGACAGGATGGATTATCTGTCAGCAATGTAAAAAAATTGAGGAGTCATTAAGTTATATGATTTGGTCCTATGAATCATTGACATCTTTTTGGAGTAATATTTTAATGTACATAAATAGATTTATGGGAAAATTCTTTAGTGTTAAAGATGTTAATGTTATATTATGCCCCCAAACTTTGGAATGTTACTATTTTTGAGCAATTATGATTGTATCAGGCCTGGAGTGTTGCTAAGATAATTATTTTGAGAAATGGGAAAAGTAGTAATATTTCTGATATTAAGGATTGGATTCAAGAGGATGTAGACTTACCTGTTTTTGAAGAGGCAATTTCATCTACTAATCAAAAAATGACTCAGTATGTTTCCCTGTGGCATAGATTTTTAAAAATATTTTGCAATGTTAGAGAATCATTATTTTTCCTTCCAAGGTACAGTAGATTTAAAAATCTGTTTGACATTGATTAGTATATAGGTTCTCCATTGGGGGCGGGGGGAGGATTGTTATTTTATTTTTGTGGGTTTTTCTGTGTATTTTCTGTGTATTTTGCAGTTTTTCTATTTCTGTTTGTAAAACTTAAGATAACATATATCATCATCATCATCATCATCATCATCATCATCATCATCATCCTCCTCCTCATCTAATAGCCAGGACCTCATAGCAGATGACAGCCCTAAACTAGATTTCCCATGCATAGCATGGATTTCTATTACATCTGGAACTGTTGATGAAGAGCAAGACTCTTGGATGTAATTGATATGGTTCTTGAGACTTAAACCTGTTCATGGTAGCCAGATGGTTTCTAACCTTCTCTTTGTTTACCTTGAATTGCCAACTCCTCCTTTTGTCAATTGTTATACTTTAAATAGTCCATTTGAACATAATTCTCCTTTAAGACCAAACCAGGAGTTGAGGAGCTCTGCCTTCTTTGTATCACCTGTTACTATCCTACCAACTTCTATGTAGTGGATCCTCTTTCCTTTTACTACTCATATACCCAAAATAGCCTTTGTAAAAATGCCCTGAGGTTTCTTGACGAGTCTAAGTTCTTTTTGTGTTTTAGCCTTTCTAAATTACTCTTTGAAGGTATTGACTACTTACTGATGTATCTCCTTGATGATTACACCCTTATCCCATTTCCTATACATGATGTAGTGATGTCATTAGCAAAATGATGCAAATTGTGAAATTAGATCCCTCCCATGCAATGTCCATAATATCAAAATTCCTAAATTGTGGGGAGATTACATGGGTATGTCATCATCACATTGAATGCCATGATTTACGCATTTCTCTTAGACATGGGTATGCAATCATGGCATTTGTGTTACGTCATTACATACCCAGTTATTTTGATATCACTGCTGTCGCTATGAATACCACTGTCTGAAGGGAAGAATTCTACTTTCATTTACTTGAGCGCAATGGGGATTTACATGAACCTTCATTGTTCAAGTATCACCAATCTTAACTTCAGATAAGGAGAAATTTACACTATTTCATAAATGTAAGATCTCTCCATTTGCATTGGATTGATTCGCATTGGATTGATTAAACAGAGGCATTATTTATATCTCTGTATCAAACAGACAAGAAGACAGTCCTGCCACACAAAAATGTACTTTATTGGGCATCAACTTTTTATTTGCTAAGAGATCAAGCAAAGATTTTAACTTGAAATTTTTTTTGTTACACTTCCTGCAGTGGATTCAAACAGAATACCTTACGTCTTTCTGAAAGTAGTCCTAGCCATCTAATCATATCAGTAATCCTTAGAGACTATACTTAATCACCACTCAGCTTTGTATCAAAATAGGATGATGCAATTATCTTTCTATTTTTTTTTTAAAGAGGGGCTTGTTAGTGTTTTCTGACGTCCAATTTGTTAACATGTATGCTTTAAAAGAGGCTCCCATTCACACTACATGTACAAGCAAACCAGGCTATTTTAGGGAACTCAGAGTTCTAGAACTATTCCTGGAGAATGTAGTACAATCAAACCAGATGTATGAGGACAATTTCAGTATATAGTTTATTTAGTTAATTTGGAAGTCAATTACCCATGAAAAAAACCATCTAAACTCACTTTTTCTATGTATATATTCATTTAGATGTTTTGACAACATATTTACATAGAACTACATGCAGGTTTTGGACAGACTTGGAGCAATGAATGCACTAACTAGGCTACTACTAGTTTCACCACAAATTAGCTCTTAAAATCTGTTCTTCTGAAATCAAATCTTCTTTCAGATTCTTAATGTAAGGATCCATATTTTTTTAAAAAAAGTAAGCTTCTTCATTCCATTGATGATCATTAACAGCCTATCCTTTGTCATTTTTTTTTAAGCAACCAGGGTTTGCTTCACAAGGATTTACATACAAGGCTTATATAGGAAAGGCAATTTCTTTGAGTCAAACAATTGACTTAGTTTAATATAACAGACTTCTTTCTTCCAGCTTAAATTCTTGTTCTCAAACGATGTTACTTTCCTGCAGTTTTCCTTTTCCATTCTTCTGAAACCTTAGTGAGGAATAAGAACCTCCTCAGCCACGAATAGCAACAGCACTGTCATAGAAGTTTCTTGAAATCTAGATAAGTACTTGGCTAGGCTGTGAGTTTACATGATCAGAATAGGATAAATTGGGACATAAGGCAGCACACAAATCCCTAAAACAAGTTTTTGTGTAAACAGGCCAATATCAATGCACATTTGAAAGATCAGCTATTGCTGCTTTCTAGTATGAATTTTGTGTAAATGTTCAGATAGATTAATAAAAATGACTAAAACGTCACTTAAATCTGAATGCATTAAGTGGCAAACACGATTCACTGCTTTAAATATTTTCCAGATATAAACCAAGTTCTGATCAGGAACTAGGAGTGTTAAAATGATAATTTTCTATAGCCAGTTTTGATGTAATACAAACAGGAATTACATCAAAAACTCAGTAATATACTTTGCAGAAATTGTTTTGCAAAATTCTTCTGTGCCTTTGCTTATATAGAGTGCATGTCAGGTAAATTATACAAATGTTTTTTAATCCATCTAAGACATTGGCATCTGCCAACACTAAGAACACTGAAGATTTCTGAACTTCTACTTTCGTAGATGTAATAGATGGTAATTCATTATACAGGTCCTTGGCTAATGACTACTTGTTCTGTAACTGTTCAAACTTACAACGGCACTGAATGAGTGGTACTAATGACCAGTTCTTAAAGTTCAGGCCATCGAGGCACCCCCACGGTCACGTGATCATGATCTGGCTCACATTTCCAACCATTGCAGCATCCTGTGGTTATGTGATTGTGATTTGTGACCTTCCCCTGCTGGATTCCCACAAGCCAAGTCAATGGGGAAACTGGAAGTTGTGGTCATGTGAGGTCATTACTTAACAACCCGTGGTGATTCGCTTAACAACGGTAACCTGGGACTGCTGGAACTGTCACTAAGTGCACAATCATGTTACATCTTGCTTTACAATCGCATCGCTTAGTGATGGAACTTCTGGTCCCAATTACCACTATTAAGCGAGGAGTACCTATATTCACAAACCAACTTCTTGTGCCTGATTTATATTTTCAAAATGGGGATGGAGACAGTACAGCATAACTTTTAAAATCAAGCTATTAGCACATATAATTATAAGAATATATTTCTAAAAATGCTCAGTCTTATAAATACAAAAATGGACAAATAAAAGGCCTGAAGAGCCACCAGCAGGTTAATTTCCCAGAGGCTGATGGAATATGGTCTAGCAGACCAAGAATTTAACTTGGAATATAGTTTTTCCTTTTGACTTTGGAATCATCAGACACCTTTTCAATTGGGTTATTCATCCTTTGGTATTCAAGAATGCAGGCCTTCCTCTTCAAGCAGCAATATCTTCTATATGAGATCATTCTATCACATTTCTTAAGAATAGGACTAACAGTGCAAAGAAGTTTATTGATACGCTATCAGTAGCATAAGTAGTAGAGAAGTTTTGTTAGAAATACAATATACTGTAGTGATCTGGAATAGGGTTGTGCAAAACCATCATAGTAGCTTTAATGCAAACCATTCTGAGTGTAAGACTTCATGTAACTCCATGTATAGAATGCAGAACTGCAGTTCTGTACTTATAATGGGAAATTTTATGAAGCCTCACATCAAAATGGTTTGAGTTCTTGCAAACACTATCTAGGAATGAGTCTCATATCAAGCCCCAGCAATGGCAGCATTTCTTGGATATTAGCTGGACTTTATCCAATATATTTCTCATAAATGCAAGAACTAGATAGTAGTTTCTATTTCACTGAATCTCTGGCTGGTAAGTAACATTCTTGAAAACTTTAAGTCAATTTAGCTGTACTACTGTATTAGCTTTTGAAGTTTGACCTGATCAGCTATGTAGTTAAAAAGCTGCTTATAAGCTTAAACTGGCTGAAGTATATAATGCATTCTACAGTCAAATGGTTAAGATAAGAGACAGTTTATTTAAGCTGCAACACACATGGTTTTAATACAACATTTAAATCAGATGAAAAATAATACACTGAACTATCAGCAGTAGAACATTTCCATTGGAAATGCGTTAAAATTCTTAAGCACCTCTTGTTACCATCTTACTGCAGTTTTCTTATGTGTTTCTAGTCTACACCCCATATCTTTTCTGTAATCATGCAAAAGCAAATCAGATTTTGAATGGGAAGTCCATTTACTACAAAGAATCATATTTCACAGAATAGCCAACTTGGTAGAACAAAACCTGTAGAGTTCTTCAGGTAAGTACACACATTTCAGAAGCCATGAACTTTCAGTTGCTCCTCCTTAACAATGCCAACCTGCAGAAAATAAACATCAGTAAGATCTTGGCAGTTAGGACTGGAAATGCCAACCCCAAAATAAATCCACATATTACCGTATTTTTCCGACTATAAGACGATACTTTTTTCTAAAATCCTTATGCTAAAAAT